CATCCACCTGCACCTCTGTTACCAGGAGGGCTGCCTTCACCTTGGGGAGCAGGGTCCCGGAGGCTGGCCCCTGCCATGGCTCCCCAGTGGCCAGACCACATGTGCTGCAGGGCTCCCCTGCCACTGGCTTCTACACAGGGCTGACAGAAAGGATCTGGGAACACAAATGGCATGTGGCCTTTCTTCTGTGTAAGATCCACTGTGAGGCCCTGGAGACCAGCAGCACCCTCATACGGGATACCTGCCCACCAGAGAGGGCCCAGGCGCCCACTCTCAAGAGGCCTCCTGCTTGGACTCTTGAAATCTCTGCTAAATTACAACTAAAAACAGCAGCGTTTCAACTCTTTTGCTTTGAAATATGCCAGGAACAGAAAAAATAAATAAATAAACCCAACAAAATGGGAAAAAACAGAACAATGGAAATGGCCTTGTCCTCTCACTGGTCAAAGAGGCCGTGTTCGAGCCAGGTCTGTGACCACTATGCACATCTCAGGCCCTGAGCCAGCTTCCACCTATTAGACTCCAAGCTGTCCCCACCTCCTGCTGGCGCCACCTGCAGGGCAAGCAGGGACCCTTCATCTCAGTGCTTTCTGGGTCCCCAAGATGAGGGACTTCGGCTCCCCTGGGCTGCACTGGTCACACCACCTCTGTGAGGAGACAGGCTGGGGACTGGCGGGTAGGAGTCAGAGGAAGCAGCCGTGGATTGCAAGGGACCTGAGCCAGGCCAGATGAGGACAAGTGTGGGGAGAGACGCTGTGTCCTGGACTCTTTCCCTTCCATCCCTCTGATGCCTGCCCCTTCTGACTCCCAGGACGCAGCCTACCAGTGCGTCGCCGCCCTGTTCTACCTCAGCGCCTCCGTCCTGGAAGCCCTGGCCACCATCTCCATGCAGGACGGCTTCATCTACAAGCACTACCGCGAGAACATCGCGGCCGTGGTGAGTCCCGCCGGCCAGCAGGCGCATGCGCACAAGCAGCTCTTGCTGTGTGCCCCCTAGGTGCAGCGGAGGCTGTGCCCCGAGAAGGGAGTGCTAAGCCCAAGGCACCCCGGTGGCCAGGCCTGGAGTGCAGGCGTCTGAGCGCCCCCAGTGTCTGATGGATCCTGCACCATCTTATTTAACCCTCTCAAAACCCCATGACCTGGGTACCGATGCAGGGCAGAGCGAACCTGTGTTCTCTGTGGCCAGGTGCTGTGCCACTCGTGACCTTGGCACCAGTTTGGAGCAGTGTGTCTGGACACTTGGGCCTTCTGACCCTGGCCCTCCCGAGGGTTGTCCACTGAAGCAGACATTCAGGGACACGGACACTAAGATCAGGGACAGGTTTTCTTTTAATGGGATGGGTGGGAAGGGCAGGGAGAAAGGATGTTTCACAGAAGCTTTTTCCAGGGCTGCCCAGGGGTGTGCCTGGGCCCATGAACTTGCTCCCGCTGACGGTGGATTTCTAACTGGGTACAGTGCAAAACCAGAACGAGTTCCTGAGAAAGAGCTCCTCAGATTTCTACAAGTCAACCCATGTCATGCAGATCCTGGTGCGAAATATGGTAGTAGCCCACAGATAGCTGCTCTGGTGGCCAGACCGGCTCTTCCTCCTTTAGGAAGGGGCAGGGCAGAGGCAGAGAGCAGCCCATGGGGATGGGCAGTGGCCAGCTTTGGGATGGGGTCTGGTGAAAAAGTCCCTCATAGCCTCATCCCTGTGGGCCAGACCCTTTCTCTCGATTAACTGCCAACTTACAGCCACTTCCTTAATCATGGCCACCTCGGGGTCCCTGACACCCCCTGAAGTGTCTCTCAGTGTGAGGACGTCTCCCCACATGGCCAGTTTCTAAGCAGTAGCACAGCCAGCCAGGAGCCTGGTTGCTCTTCCCTCCCTGAAACGCTGGTCCTCCATCTCCACCATCATCCCTCGGACCACTCCGATTCTTCTCTCTGTCTCGGAGGCACCTCTACCTCTCCCTATCCAATCCCAGAAGCCGCTCTCTCAACAGACATCAGCAAAGCATTTGGCAGTTCCCATAAAATTGTTGCAGACTGTGGTAGCAAAACATAGATGGATTATGGTTGGTGGGTCTATGCTTGATGGAAAAGTCCAGGTGAAGCGGATAAGTGCCGGGACAGGTCTCCAGTTGAGAACCACTGGGCTCTAGTGAATTGTGCTGTATTGTGACTTTTCCTTTTCATTGAAAGGCAGTGTATACTCAGAGAAGTGCACAGGCCACAAGTGTACAGCCTGAATTTTCAGAAAGTGAGATTCCCTGTGCAGCTAGCGTCCAGATGGAGAAATAGGACTCAGTAAATAGTTTCCAGAAATACCCCTCTTGTCCTACCACTACCACTGTGCAACTCTGCCACCTGTCAGCTTCTGATTTCTAGCACCCAATTCAATTTTGCCTGCCTTTGAACTTCACTCGAGTAGGGTTACACCAGGTCCATTCTTTTATGACCGGCTTCTTTCTCTCAACCTGGTACTTGTGAGATTCATCTTGTGGTCAAGTATAGATGTGTATTGTTTATTTTCACTGCAGTTTAGTATTTAGTATAAATATTTAGTATTTAGTGACATTTCTCCATTCCATGTTTGCTTATGTCCCCACATTTTTTTAGTGGAGTGGGATAGTCATGAGCATGCCCAGGTAAAGTCAAGAGTGCTAGAATCAAGATCCAAATGTTCTCAGCAGGCAGATGCACTGAACCAAAATCATGAAGGTAAATGCAAACCAGGTTCCATGCAGTCATGAGATCCACTAAAAACATCCACTGGATCAGGACATGGGGCAGAGGGAGTCATCGTTCCTCAGGATTTAACCCCAGATCACTCCCAGCCATAGCATGCCCCTCAGGTGATCTTGGGGTGGCCATTGCAGGGCATATGGGGGCCTGGGGAGGGGTCTCCAAGCCTCTCTCACTTTGAAGGCTTCTGGCCTATCTTGAGGCTTCTGTGTGGTTCCTGGTTGGGACGTGTCTCAGAACCTGAGCTTCTTCCCCATCTTGTTTGGTGGTGGCAGAACCTCCTTGCCCAACAGGATTGGTGGAAGCTGCCTGCAGAGACCTGGAGATTTCTAGAGAAATCTGGAGGTTTCTTCTAATGGCAGGGTATCTGAAGCCAGAACCCATCCCTGCATGTCCCGGCTCTAACCGCCCTCAGCGTGCCATTCTTCACCCCATTTGCAAAACAGTTTCTATTTCCTGTTACAGTGGGGACTTCTGCTGGGCTTGTGCCAAAGGGCCTCTATGGCTTGGGAGTGCCACCCAATGGGCACAGGGGGGTTTCGGGGCTGCTCACTCGGGTGTGACCGCGCCCTTCAGACCCAGGAGTGCCGAGATGAATTCTCTTAGGCTTGTTATTAAGTAACTCAGCTTACTCATCGCCTCTGGCCTGGGCCGGGGAGAGAGCTTGCCCAAGCGTGGGGGCAGGGTGAGAGCGGGCACCCTGATGACTGCTGTTTATGGCATTTTTCAAGAGTCACAGAAGCGTGGCCACCCTAAGTGTTGTGCTTGGGCTGGAAACTCTTGGCCCCTGCCCAAGGTCAAAAAACAGGTGCAGAGATTGAATTTGGGGGCAGGTGAGCCTTAGGAAGGAGGGTGACAGGAGCAGGCAGTGCCCAAGTGACATGCAAGTCACTAGTGACCATTGCCACCACCCCAGGGCCGTTGTTCCCAGTGACAAAATGGCTACATCCTCTCACAGCCTTATTATTTTTGATTAATTAAGTCATTTAAATCAGGTATATATGGCAGCAGAATGCATTTTGATTCGTTGTAAGCAATTGCCACAGCTTTCTTAGGAGCCCCTTCTTTTTGACAAAAGCTGGACATCCTCCTTACCTTCCCTGACCCACACTTCCCATGGACCCTGGCCTTCACCCTTGCCTGGGCAATGATGGATCCCAGGGTAAGAGTCCAATAGGGTGTCAGGATGTCCAGGAGCTTGGAGACCCCAGCGAGGGCCAGCAGGCCCATGTCTCAGATCTCATAGCTCAGCCACCACCATCGCTGGTGGCCGCTGTCTTGCTGGTGCCTGTGAGGGGGAGGGGGGCAGTTTCCACTGAGTCATTGACACCTGCCTGGATGCTTTCCTTGCAGGGGCCCTCAGTGTTCCCATTTTAAGTCAGCTGACCACACCTGGACATTGGGTGAAGTTGGTAGTTTCATCTTGCAGTCTAGGACCCAGGGATCTTGAGTCAGGTCCCCTGGGGCTGTGTGGGGAGAGGATTAGGGATGCACCTGGGCTCCCCAGGAAAGGGTGTGTGCGTGAGTGACGGACAGTGGCAGCCCAAGGACCATGCGGTGCTCCAGGCAGCTGGGACCCGTGGGCCTCCTGCCTGCCCCCCACCCCCAACACTAATGGGGCTCTCTCTGGGTTCCAGGTGTTCTCCTACGTCGCCACGCTGCTCTACGTGGTCCACGCCGTGTTCTCTTTAATTAGGTGGAAGTCGTCATAAAGCAGCCAGACTTGAGCTGAAAACCCAGAGGTGTTGGCGGATCAGCCCATCCTTCAGCGTAACTTTCTAGAAGGCAGACATGCTCTCAAGGGGGCAAAAAGAAGAGAAAAAAAAAAGCAACACTTTCCCATGGGTATCCTGTTGACCTTCCCATTGACCTTTCCACCAGGGCAGGGACTGGCTGCTAACCTGCAGTGCTGAGCTGTCCAGGGCCTCTTCCTGTATGCGAGAGGGCCTGTGGGGTGGGACACAGGGAGCGTGACCTCAGAAGACCACAGCATCCCCTGCTGGCCCCTGGGCTGGGTCTTGAGAAGAGCAGATGGGAGCTCCCACGGGCTCCGTGGAAACCCATCTAATGGGGTGCTTCTAAGCGTCGTAGGAACTGAAACTCACCCGACTGACATTTCCAGATGCCACAGCGGAAGATGAGAACCCTCTGACTTTATAAAGTGCCCGTGTGTACAGTTCCTCTGTGGCTGTGCTGGGGGTTTGGTTTGAATTGCCCTGTGCTGGGAACCGGCTCCTGGCAGCCTTCTGAGGACCTTTGACTTAATCAGGAGGCAGCCTCAGTGACAGTCAGATGACATCATGCACGCTCAGCCACTGCCCTCACCCTCCCAGAATCCCACTGCCCCGATGGCATCCCCTCCCTGGAAACTCGCCAAGTGCCAGCCTGGGCCCCAGCCATTGCCCCCAGTAGTCTGTGCTCAATTAGAATTCCCTTAAACCGGCCAGCGTGGTGGCACCCGCCTGTGGTCCCAGTGGCTTCAGAGGCTGAGGCAGGAGGATGGCAAATCCAGCTTCAGCAGCTCAGTGAGGCGCTAAGCAACTCAGTGAGACCCTGGCTCTAAATGAAATATAAGAAAGGGCTGGGGATGTGGCCCGGTGGGTTAGTGCCCCAGGGTTCAATCCCTGGTACCAAAAAAAAAAAAAGAAAGAAAGAAACAAAGAAAAAAAATTTCTTAAACCCAAAGAAAACTAGGTACAGATGTTTCCTCTCACTTTTTGTAAAGCTGATCCGAACTGTTTTGAGCTGTGTGGTCTGTTCTGTGTTCTCTGGTGGCATGGATAACCAACTGGTTTTAGAATGTCCCTGGGGAGAAAGGGGACCCGGCTGCAGAGTGGAAGGAGGCAGAAACACCCGGTGGACACTGGGTTTCTGGTGTTAGCTGTCCAGGCTGTAAGTAGACAAAGGTCCCTAAGTTGGGAATCTGGAAGCCCAGCCCCTGTTCTGAGTCCCCTTGATCCCATGGCTCAAGAATGAGTGACATTCCAGGATCACTGGTACCAAAATCTGGGTCACTGGTATCAAAATCTAGCCACTTGCAACGAGTCCACTGAACATAACTGAAATTTCATAGGAAACCATGAGCAACAGGCTTGGCAGGGGCTGTAGCTAAAAAGCAAAACTAAACTACAAATTATGAAATAATAGGGGTTTGTCATGTGTTTACAAAATTTGTCACTCAGTGTCGATGGAAGGAAGTCTCAAAACTGCCCTCCGCAGGGACTCACCCCAGAACTTGGTGCAAGCGAGGCTCCTTTGCAATAGGAAAGGGAGGGAGGCAAGAACGCTGAATTGAATTTCCCAAAGTTAAAATTTTTTAATCATTTAAATAAACTTTCATAGGACCTCTCTCATTTTTGCTAATGATAAAGCCCTTACTAGTCCATGGCTTTGCTGAAGACTCTGATACAGCTTCCTGTCCCTTCTGTAAACCAAGACCATTTAGAAATCTGCAGATTCATTTCCCTTTGAGTTGCATCCAATTTTTTTTAAAAATACTTTTCAGTATCGATGGATCTTTCTTTTTGTGTGTTTATCTTGCTGTGGTGCTGAGGATCAAAGCCAGTGCCTCACACGGGCCAGGCAGGTGCTCTACCACTGAGCCGTGACCTCAGCCCCTGAATTGCATCCTACTGGAATCGGGTGTGAATGGGGCAGGTGTGGTTTCCTCAGGCCCCCAAATGCCCTCCCCAGATCTTGCTCCCCTTCTCCTGCCCCTCTAACCCACCCACCTGGTGCCCCCTCAGCTCCTGCACCAGCTCTCAGCTGTCTGTACCCAGCTGTTTGGTGTCTGCAGGTGCAAGTGTCAGCTGAGTGGCAGTCCTGCCTGCTCAGGGCACCACTCCTCTGAGAACCCACGATGCCTGGGGAGCCAGGGGTGGCGAGGGAGGACATTTAAGGAACCCGCTGGGCAAGCGCAAAGGCACCCAGACCCCAGAGACTGAGCTGTGGCTGAGCCCCTGACGCTGGCTCCCTTGGCCCCTCCAGGAAGGGATGCATCTGGTGCCCAGGCTTCTCTGCATGGGGGCCTTGGGCAGCCCCTTCTGGCCTTGGGGCCCTGATGACTCCCAGAACTGTCCTTATGCAGATCTGACCGCTGGCCTCTCAAGAAGTGACGACTATGAAGCCAGTGTGGTGGCACACACCAGGGACTTGGGACACAGAGACAGAGGATCACACGTTGGAAGCCGCTGCGACTTAGCGAGAGCCTGTCTCAACTTGAAAAATAAAAAGGGCTGGAGATGGAGTTTAGGGGGGGCCCTGGGTTCAATCCCCAGGGCTGAAGGGGAGAGAAAAAGGGAGAAGCCACGGTGAGCACCTCTGGTGGACATGCACGTGGCACGGGCACTGGACTGCGTGGGCAGAGGGACAGCCCCGACCTGGACCAGGGCCTCACAGGCGGGGGTGCGTGGGCCTTGGACTCCGTCTTCTTTTCCAGAGCGGGGCCATGACAGTGCCCCGTCAGGCAGCCCCTGGGCTCTCCTCGGAGAGCCAGAGGCCTGCCTGGCCCACCACACACCTTGCCAAGGGGAGGGACCCGAGGCTTCCTGGGCCCCCAGAGCAGAGAGCTCACCTTTCCCCTGGCCTGAGAAAGGATGGAGGGACTCTTGTCCGCCATGTGACCAAGAGCCGAAGCTTGCGGGCCAGATGGAGCGGGGGCTCAGTGGGAAGTGACTGGAGAGCAGACCCAGTGGAGTGGCCAGCTGGCAGGGACCTCAGGGGTGGAGCTGGGCCTCTGGATCCTGTGGACAGTGCTCTGGCTGGTCTCAGCCCAGAGAGCCACCCAGACAGTCCCTGCTGCCTTCTGGGGCCCTCACGCAACTCCCTGGGGCTCCCCCGGGGACAGTGCAGCCCAGGAGGCCGCCGGGGAGGCCGCTGTGGGTCAGCTCCAACAGGGCACTGAACGTTCACGTTCACCTTGCTCCTGGAGGCTCAGGGGCACCTCCTGGGGGCATCCTCCTGGTGACCTTCCCCTCAGGGCAGGGTGGCCCGGAGGGTCCCATGCTGCCCACCTTCCCTGGAAGCCAACCTCCCCACCTGTCCTCTCATAGTAGGTCCCCAGGGCATCTGCCCCTCTGCAGAAGACCCACTTCTGGGGAAGTCAGGCTTCCTCCACGTTCTAGAACCCCACGAAACACTGGCTCTTACTGGAGCCCGGCAGGCGCAGCCTCCGTGGGGGTGGACGGTGCCCTGCACCAACCCCACAGGGACAGAATCCCCGCTGCCAGCCGAGGGCCAGAGATGCTGGCCTGCAGGGCCCACACAAGGGCCTCTTGTTCCAGGGTTGGGGCCGGTGTGGGGTCACAATGGGGCCTTTAAAGGAGACAAAGGGCCTCTGGCCCAGCTGAGTGACCCCGCACACGTGGGCATCTGCCCAGGGCATTTGAAGTAGCACAATTTGGAAAAACAGATTGACAGTGATTCTCCCCACTCTCTGCCTGGTTCAAGGCCTTCATTCTGTCCCCACAGTGTCCAGCTTCACAGCCTGAAGGAGCTGGCATGCCACAGGCAGACACTGGCTCTGAGCTAGGACCCTCTTTCATAGGTAGCCAGGCAGAAGCACAGTGCCAGGCTTCCTGGGTGGCACCTGGAGAGTGCTGGGCTTCCCTGAGCAGCACACGTTCAACAGGCACCTGCTAGGACATAGGCAGTGCCATTGGGTCCCCCTGCTGCTCTCAGCACTTCTTTGTTTAATCCCCAAGACAACCTCATGGGTCCCATGAGTCAGCTTTCCGTCATATCACAAAATACCTGAGATAATCAACTCAATAAGAGAAAAGGTTTATCTTATTTCGTGGTTGCAGAGGTTTCAGTCCACGGTCACTTGGCCCTGTTGCTCTGGGCCTGTGGGAGCCCAGTGCATCATGGTGGGAGGGCTTGGCAGAGGAGGCTCTTTGGCAACTGGAAAGCCAAAAGAGAAAGAAAGGGATAAGCATTCCAATACCCACTTCAAGGGCACACTCCAGTGATCTAACTCCTTCCACTAGGCCCACCTTCTAAAGGTTCTGCCACCTCCCAAAAGCACTATGGACTGGAGAGTAAGCTTTCAACTCATGGCCTTTGGGGGACATTCAAGATCCAAACTATCGCAGGGTCCCGTGCAGGTCTATACCATTTACACAAAGATTCTAAGGCACAGAAAGGTTGAGAGACTTGTCCAAAGTCACATAGAAGAAAGATATGGATTCCAGTTCCAATGGCCTGTCATGCCTAAGATCTCACTACAGTAGGGTCCCTGTGCCCTGGGCAAGTGGGCCCAGACATGTCACATGCACAACCCTGACTTCACCGGTACTGAAAGTGGAGTGGTCTCAGGAGCTTATGAAGCCTGCGCTGATCCTGAAAGCAGCGCTGTGCTTGGCTTTCACCCCAGGAGCAAACCCGTGGGGCTGTGTGCTGGCAGTGGCAGGGTCCCCCTAGTGTGGCCCTGGGCCTGGGCAGTGGCAGGGGTGGCCGGCAGGCTGGACCCAAAGGTGGGCTAAACTCCACCAGGTTTTGTGAACTGAGGGGCCGAGGCACAGTCCCCCCAGCTGGCCCAGGTGAGTGGCCTCTGTCCCCTCCACTGCAGAACACCCACCCTGCCCCCAGGCTGTTG